TATATCCTGTGGAAGTTTGATTTCTAGCGGAAAGAATAAAAACAATCGGCGACGTTATTGATGTCTACTGTAACGTCATCACAATTTCTACTATAACGCTATTATACCGTAGAGTGTCGTAACAAAATCGTGAGTGTGTATAACCCATTTTCCTAATTATTGCAAATGCTCAAGCGTTAATTTCTGTGTCATTTGGACTCTTGTGGAGAGTTGTCTTATTGGCAATCATGCCACATGTTCTTTTTTTATATTGTAATGTTCTAATAATTATGAATCAAATATCAAGTTTAAAATTGTCCCAGTAAACACAGCGTTGACAGAATGATTCTATACGTATTTTAATAATCGGTTATAATATTGGGATCGCGTATACACGTCTTTTTTAAAATCTTATTTCTGCATGTTTGTATTTTAAAAAAGTGAATATAATTTGCTGCATCTTTTCATCCTCACCACTTCCGGCGCTATTCGAGGGATTGCGCACAAAGCCCATTTTTTGTCAGGTTCACACGCGTGCACGTGACACAACTCTGCAATTTTATTTAAAAAATTTCCTGTCTCGATCGCTTTCCCTTTTCTTTAACTACACGACAAAGCATGATTTAATGTTTGCTGGAGATTTTAAGTAAAAAAGGAAATAATTTTTTGTTCCATAATTTGTTTAATATCCACATGCACGACTCCCGAAAAATAAGAAAACTGCATCTGCATATTATCTTGAGAATTTTTATGACTGTAATAAGGTCAAAAGAAGAACCCGCATATGAATTTTAGCAAAGTAAAACAGATCGGAGTTTTAACTTCACGTAGCACAGATCATTCCCAGTGTTAGCCTTAGCATTGCGTATATTGTGTATAATGCTATAGCATTGTGTATTGTGTAATGCTAAAGCTTTGTGCATAGTGATATGCTATAAATTAATGTACTGGTGTAATGCTATAAGAATGTACCAAGAGCGATGCTATACGAGTTTACCTAGTATAGTGCCATACTAATTGTTCCTGTATATAATGCAAATGAATTGCAGTTTTGTTAATATAATATGAACATAAGGAGCTGTGGTATGATTGCAAATGAGACAACTATCTGCCACGTTTAAGGTAGATCGGGTGTCTTTTTCTGAGCGTCCGTTCTGATCATGTTGATTGCAAAAACTTTTTTGTTTTAAAAATATTTTACCAAGTATCATTTAATATACAACAAAATACTTAAAACTTGAAGTTTAAAGATTGAACTATCAAGAAATTAAGTGTCGTAAAGTATATTTAAAATTTTTGGGTTTTTTTTCAAGAAAATAAGGCCCGTGACCTCTTATTTTTATTTGATATTTCGGAGTTATTAATGAAAAGCAATTCTCTCATCGAATTTTACCCAATTCTATCGTTTAATGTTTCCGCAATAAGGAAAACTTAAGTTTCCCCTATATCAACAATATAAAATAACCCAAATTTCGTTAATTTCAATGTGTTATTACGAAAAAACAAGGTCCGTGATCCCCAGTTTTTATATTGAAATTAAAAATTACATTGACAATGAAGTCTTACAGTAGTTTAAGAAAAATCTATCGTCCAATATTTAGACAACCCAGCTACCTTAAAGGATGTGGATGTAACCAATTGTTATAGGCAATCATACGGCCTTCAACAATGAGAAAATCCATACCGTATATAGTCGCCGGGTTATAAAAAGCCCCGACATTGTAGAACTATTATTCTTCACCCCTACCCCTTCTTCCCCTACCTTATACTACTGCTGAATGATACACAAAAGCACAACAAAAGAGAACAAATTTCGCTATCCCTTCGAAATCGGAATTTGATTAAGAAAAAATAACACGTTCTATTTTTATCATACATGTGTAGTTTCAGTTTCAACCATGGTTCTAAATTTAGATTTTACTTTCCCCAAAAATTGCGGACGGAATAGAAGACACCTGTTTATGTTCTGCACCTTGAAAACTGAGATTTGGATGACATAGATTTTACATATTCTGAGATAAATGTCATAGTGAACAATTCTTAGTTTCTGAGTGTGTAATGTTTTGTGGACGGAATCTGATGGGTTTTTTTTTTGCTGTTGGCTTTTTCTTCGGCTTATAAATGTTGTACTAGTGGTCGATTACCCCTTAGTATCTTTTATACGTTTTACATAAATAATAAAATATATAACATCATAAAATTTTCAATTGCATAAAAACGGACATGCCAACGTCTTTCTTGTTTAAGACACAAATTCACATGCAATATAATTATTCGTTACCTACAATTTTACGCTACAGGATCTACAGTACACTGTGCATTTCATTCAAAACTATGGTTTTTCAAAAAATATTGTGGTGTCAATTCTGGTTTGATTTTAATGAATTTGATACGAATAGAAGCAGAATTGTCACTGGTTTATTTTTTATTTGGTTATAATTTTGTTGTTTAGGCGTTTTTACCTTCTGTTGAAATAAACACGAGTCGTATTGTGTACCTGCTCCTGCGTGTCTAAAACAAAAACAGTGGTAATAGAGTCAGACTAACTCACAATAGGATACTCAGATTTCTGATTGGAGTCATTCTAATTATTTCTTTGAAGTTTTGAGATAGCACATGAATACTTGTTTGAATTCATGATAGCCCGCACGAAGTCATTTCTCTTTCATGTGCCCATTTTTCCTTTCTTAGAGTAGGGGAGATAACCCGCGTAACTAACGACGCACGTTTTTTATCCTGAATTCCGCTAGAGGCGTGCAATTACGTACACTTCGCCTTAATTGTTTTGTACAGGTTAGGGAGAGGGTTAGTCATCCAAAACATGTTAATTGCAAGACACTGGCATATATTAATAAACATGGAGCCAGATCATATTAACAGGAACATATTTATATGGGCAGATGAGATCAGCCTGAAAAAGAAAATTTTCAAAAATTGGAATGTCATGGTTAAAAAACAGTTAATTGACTTTTGCAATACCAACACTAATGTTAATACAAATCTGTTTAATAATACGGTCATTTCAAAAAAGATATTGAAGAATAGAAGAGCATTGCTAATTCATCCTCTTTCCAGACGGGGTAATGGACGCAACACGTGGAGAACGTATACTATTTTTAAACAGGATTATGTTATTTAAAAGCTATTATAAAGATGCCTTTTAGTGAAAAAAAGTCTCTTTGCAAAATTAAGATGTGAGGTGGCTCCAATTAGACCGGAAACTGGAAGGTATGAACATTTGCGACTAGAAGAGAGAGTTTCATGTATTTCAAATACTGTTTTTAACAATTTTACAGACTGTCAGAAATTTTTATTTTGTTTTCGAAACAAGATATTATTATGTGTCAAAACCAGTAACTCTGAAAATATGTCGAGAAGTTTTATATTGTAAATCTTATCACTATTATGCTGGTTTTTTTTTTTTATCATTCATGTTTAATTTTAATATGTATACATGTTGTTATCGTCTCTTATAAATCTGTACAAATTGGCTTATGTATAAAAAAAAATGTGTATTTCATGACTGTATTGTGTTATTGCATGCACGATGTGAGACGTAAATAAAATATTTTTTATTTATTTATTTAAATCTTCATTTCAGATACGGTAACGGGGTTACACTTTCATACTCATCTAACAAGAAATATGGTCTGTTCTGACGGTCATGAATAAGGGAATGTGAAAGGAAAATATAACATAAAAAACTAGTGGTTAAATAAAAAAAAATGCTTATACCAAGAATTATGTTGGGACGTTCTTGAATAGATTGACACCGATGTCGGACATTCTGACTTTATCTTTTATTTCTTTAATGAATCAAATTATTTCTGACTAGAAGAAGTCAATTGACACTCTCGACTCCATCACCACCTAAAGAACACAGCGAGAATAACACATACATTGATGCTTTAAATTTACTATGTTCCGAAGAATATTCCTATAATGATAGCAACATATTCATTGGTCGGGTTTAGAAAACGCATACTGTCATTTAATTTCTTCTGCCCATCCTGGCGTGTTCTCAATTTTATAACTAAAATTAGTCAATTGAATCCTAGTCACATCATTTATCAACCAATTAGAACTTACTAACAACACTTAGAACTTACTAACAACACTTTGTGAAATTGTTGACAAAAGGCAACAGTTTGTGAGCTAATGTTTCAAAATTATAATATAAGTTCAGTTAAACAATAACGTTATACTTACCTAGAATACTGAGTTGCTTTATACATGGCTCTCTGTTCTGTAAGAGTCATTGATTGTACAAGCTATAATATTTTTATCCAAATTGTTGTATTCAATCTTGTATTAATTAATGTTTTTTTAGACAAAAATGATATAAATATGCATCATCACATTTGATAAATATGAAGTTTCAGCAAAAAGCTTAAGGAACTAAAAATGTATAGCACACAGTAATCACATAACGTTTGGTGTCATATAACAAGAAGTTTTATTTTGTTGCTACGGAACATGTGACAGAAATGCGTTACAGACGAACAAAATAGGTAGTCGATCATCCCCGCTGCACGACGGAGGAGAGAGTGGGCATTATGTAGAACACTGAAACTAAACGGGAGATGTTTTTCAATTAAAAAACAAACAGTATCTACGATGAGTTTATATAGTTTACATTTATTCATAGTACTTGTATTGAATTGTCCCATAATTATAATCGATACAACACTCGAATTCATTCTACATGTTAGACTTGCTATCTGTTGATAATTTACTTCTTTCGTCCCAAAACCTTTGCAGAACCATTTGGAAAGATCATCCTATATGACGTTGATGTTGATGTATTTGAGCGAACTTACGACAAAGACGATTGACTGGTATCACCAAACCTTTATATTGCTGATGATATTGTGGAAGGTTTTATTTGACTCTATATGTAGCTAGAACACGACTCTCCTGAGACATTGTGAAAATTGCAAAACTGGGTGAGATCGTTTTTAATTAAAGAAAAAGGACTGTTTTAAGATTGAAAAACAAACATATATTTTACGAACCTTTGATTGTATCTTTTCTTTTCTTGTAAAAAAAAGACTGCAATGCTTGTTATTCCAAATATTAATATAGCCGATCCTATTTCTGCCCCAATGCCAACAGCCGCGATTTTGTCCGATTCTTTAAGTGCCTAACCTTAACAAAACCATATATGTCATTAATATACATGAAAATGCCAATTTATTAAACTGCAATACAGTTGATTTACAGTTCCGTCTTAAAATTTGTCGACAAATTAGATATGAATGTATTACGCTGGTACACTGGAATATTTTTTAAAGATCTCTTGAAGCATAAAGTTATACAAATTTGTTGGATATTTCGTTTTTTTTTTAAATTCTGAACACTTTTTTTATGACCCCCAATTGATATTTTATATTGCAGTTATATTAAGGTTGTCTGAATCTTCTGTAGCTGCCATGAACATATAAAGACGCACTGAGAAACATACTATATTCTTATAAAAAAACAGAAAAATGGCGGACAGGATAGACAGGGCTTCTGAGCTCTCACAAAAAAGTTATTAGTTATATATGTTTTGTGGAATTTATTGGAACTTTTTGATATAACATGACGAACATTAGGTTCTTGAGCAACAACTTGAGTGCACATGGGATCGAAAAAAGGAAAAGGACATAATAAAAGGAAACGAAGTTCAAGTAAGACACCACCACAATCAAAAACAAAAAAAATGGACGCCAATGTAAACAAGGTACAGAGTGTTAACCGCAATACACCTAATACTCCAGTAGCGGATCAACTAAGTACAACTCATAACATATTATATGGTAACCCGAGTAATTTACACCATTTAAACACATACGGTCAAACTTCAATCGGAACCCCGTATCAAACTTACCCAATGACTCCCCCTACAACTCCTGCTGATTTTCTGGTAGCGAACCAACCTCTTCAAACTAATCTCAGCTTCAGCTCGCCACAATCTCCACCAAATGAATTTTCGTTATACAGTAAATTTGAAAATTTTATGATAGACTGTTCACAAAAACTCCAGAAACTAGACATACTTGATGACATTGTTATGAAAATAAATGCCATGGAACAACGGTTTGAACATTTAGACAGAAACGTAACGGATATGCGACAACAAATAAACAAACACAGCACATATATTCAAGAATCATCAATACGATCATCGGTAATTGAACAGAATATCGATTTTATAAAAAATGAAAAACTCCAAAACGAAAATTGTGAATTGAGGGACAGAATAGTAGATATACAAACTCGCTCGATGAGAGACAATTTGATATTTCGCGGGATTCCTGATGTTTCTGATATCAAACAACCAGAAAATACGGAAGAAAAACTAAAAACATTTTTAACAAATGAACTTGGAATCGAAGACGATATTCCATTTCACGTGGTTCATAGGCTCAAACCGCGCCATGATAGAGGTCCAATGGGAATCGTCGCTAAATTTAAATAAAGAAAGGACCGCGAAAAGGTCCTGGCGGCTGCGAGAGAAAAATTGAAAGAAAGTAACACCTTTCGTGTCCATGAACAATTTCCAGGGGAAGTTATTCAGAAAAGGCGTGAATTGGTACCAATTATGAAGGACGCTAGACAGAAGGGGCACTTAGCCTATTTACGTGATGATAAACTTTACATTGACAACAGGCGATTCTTCCCGCGACTTCCACCACAAATGCCACCTAGACCATCGTTCCAAAACCAGCAATCCATGGAACAAAGACCACCTCCTCCTTTTCCTGGCGCATAGGGGTGTTGTGCAAGAAGAACAGAAAGAGATATCAGCACGTGTAAAAATCAAACAAACAATGCGGATAATACTTTTTCTGAACTAAAAATCTGTTTTCTTAATGTCTGTGGTATAAAACAAAAATTGTTATGTCCGGAATTTACAGAGATGATAAAAAAATTATGATATTTGTCTATTTTCAGAAACAAAACTGTCTGACACTGATTTATTGAATATACCTGATGACTATATGTATTATTCTAGAATTAGAAAAAAATGTAAAAGGAAATCAGGGGGTATTGTTGTTATGTATAGAAATCAGTTAAAAGGTTATTTAAACTTTTTAAATACAGATTGTGAATTTGTACTGTGGGTCAAGATCTCAAAACTTATTATAAACCAGAAAACTAATTGTTTACTAGGTTGTGTTTATATTCCACCTGCAAATTCGAAATATTCAACAAGTGAATCATTTGATGAGGTAGAAAATGAGATGCTTAATATAAAAAACATAGACAGTTTAAATTGTATTATTTTTGGTGATTTTAATGCCAAAACTGGTAGTTTACCAGACTATATTATACCGGACGAAAATTTAGCTGATATTTTTGAATTTAACTCAGACGAGGGTATACTTTCATATATGTTTGCTTACGAAAATTTACCTAGAAACAGTATTCCATTACACAGAGTTACAAGTTGTAATTGTGAACCAAATAACTACGGACACAAACTTTTAAATGTATGTAAAAGAAATAACATGTATATAGCAAACTCTAGAGTAGGTAATGATAGAGGTTGGTAAAAAAACCTGTAATGACACAAGTGTTATTGACTATTTATTATTGTCATCAAATTTATTTCCAGTTGTTAAAGAATTCGATATTAAGGAATTTGATCCATTGATCTCAGATGTCCATTGTCAATTACATTTAGTTTTTCAAGCTCCATTGATTTTATATAATAGACGTGTTAGGAAAGGGATTTAAATACTGTGCTGAAGTTAAATAACGATTTAAGTGTGGACTTTCTCAAAATACAATTGTATTGAAAAGTATCCAGGCGTAGCATAGTTTATATTTGTGGTGTGTTTGATACACTATAGCTAACAGTTAACGTCGACCACAAATTTTAAATCATGCACGGGTATTTCATAGATATTAATATATGTATTTGTTTGTTTAATTTAGGAGTGTTTTTGTTAACGAATTCTCTCAGTTTATTTTTGACTTATGAGTTTGAATGTCCCTTTGATATCTCTCCACAAGTCCAGCACACAGTTCAATAATTTGTGATTTTTTTTGGTTTGTTTTGTTCACACATCGTTGTCAATATAATGGAATTTGATGCGACTGTCATGCAAGTGAGAGGTTTAGCTAGCTTTAAAACCAGGTTCAATCCACCATTTTCTACTTAAGAAAATGCCTGTACCAAGTCAGGAATATGACAGTTGTTATCCATTCGTTTGATGTGTTTGAACTTTTGATTTTGCCATTTGATTGGGGACTTTCCTTTTTGAATTTCCCTCGGAGTTCAGTATTTTTGTGATTTTACTTTTGATTTAATTCGTGTCTTTAATGTCTACACACAGTCCGGACAACCCTAAATGTTGTAAACGTCTGATGGCGTGTTCGACATAAACTCGACACTCTGAAATTCTTCTATTTAATTTTTACGCGGTTTTTGTATAATCGGTGTCTCCTATATTGCGTAACAATTGTTGGGCGGTACTATCAATCTCATCACATTAACACAGTTTGGAGAAAAATCCAATTTCAAATTAGTGCCAATTCTTTGAAGAAGGTTGTACTGCTGCGCATCGTTTTGATGTCCAACAAAACCCCTTTTTACGAGCCGTATGTGATTTGTATTGTCTGGGTATGACAGAACAGACATATGCCACCACCCATCACTATATACCGTCCAATTTGAAAGCGGAGTGTATGATGAGTATTCGGCATAACAAAATGCAGGAAATCGAAAAAAAAATTGCCCGTCAAAAAATCAAACAGGCCTTGCAGCAGGTGAAAAGGAATATTCCGTTTTCAAAATATCCTCCTGGCCTAAAGATAATTAAATCAACGTCTAGTTGTGTTTTGTTGGTGGAGGAAGCTGTGATACCAAGAGGAAAAAAAAACTACCGACCCATCACCGAAACGTACATTCAACACTTTGCTTGAATAGTGTCCGAATGTGTTAATCTATTAAAACTTATTTCGATAACCTCTTCTGTCCGAAAAACTAACTTACGAAAGTTGATAGAAAGAAAATGTCAGGGAAAATGTGAATTAGGATAATTAATTCAGACATTTGAACAGGTTTTTGCAGGTATGGTCCCTTTTCAGAATAACATTAGATTTCCAGAGTGACATGTCTAGACAAAATGAAAAAATAAAGATAATAGAATTGAATAGGACAAGATAATATGTCTCCCCTGGAAAATGAAAAAATCTAACAATTCGGATATTGGAACCATATTTTGCAGAAATGGTACTTCAGACAACCCAAATTGACCAATGACGAAGTTTCTTGAATTAGAGCATACAAGAAAATATGGTTAAAATGTATATTGAATGAACAGTTATGACGGAAGTCGTCGTCATGACGAGGAGAGAAATTTATACAAGAATTGCTTACATAATTTGACGTTCGTTTAAAAGGTGTTTTTAATTTTCCGTCTTTTACAATATATATAGAATTTTGAAAATACTTTTTTCGGTATGAAAATTATATCGGGTTTTATGGAAACAAATATTGTGGGGATGCAAATAACTTATCGGGGTTATAGGGGTAGGACCCCTATCTAAAGTGTGTGATTTAATAAAATTTACCGGCCTTGAAAGACAATAAAAAAGTTTTTGTTTTTTTTTCAATTATTTTTTTTTTAGTTGCCTAGTACACACATACTCTAGTTTTTTTATTAGAATGTAAAGCTTCACATTGCTCTATTCTAGATACATGATACTAAAAATAAGGAGATGTTGTATGATTTCCAAAGTAGACAACTATCCACCAAAGACCAAATAACGTAAATGTTTGCAACTATAGGTCACATATGGCCTTCAACAGGGAACATAACCCATACGGCATAAAAAAGCTACAAAAGGTTCAGACATGAAAAGCACATTTAAAAAAAAATTCAAATAAACGAACATTTTGAACAAAGATTGATGTAGAGTAAAAAAACGGATTAGGATGTAATTTGATAGCAGTGTTCTTTTATTCATTTATTTTGGTCATTTTTTGGATTTTCCTTGAAGACGTTCGGCAAAATAATAAGAAAAGGAGGAACAACGTACGATTTTAAACTTAATCGATCACTACTATGAAACAATGCAATTTTATGATATTAATAAATATGTATAATGGTCGTGTTTTTGCATGATCCTCATCTGTGTATTGTTGAATAAAT